GCTGCCATCCATCTGTCTGTCTGTCTGTCTGTCTGTCTGTCTGTCCGTCCGTCTGTCAATTCGTCCATCCGTTCGTTTGTCTGTCTGTCTATCCGTTCGTCCGTCCATCTGTCAATTCGTCCATCCATCCATCCATCGCACCCGTCTGTCTCTGTCAATTCGTCCATCCATCCATCCGTCTGTCTGTCTGTCCGTCCGTCTATCTGTCCATCCATCCGCCCGTCCGTCCGTCTGTCTTTCTGTCTCTTTATCCGTCAGTCATCTATCTATCTATCTATCTATCTATCTATCTATCTGTCTATCTGTCTGTCGGTCTCTTTATCTTTCAGTCATCTATCTATCTATCTATCTGTCCCTTTATCTGTCAGTCATCTATCTATCTATCTATCTATCTATCTATCTATCTATCTATCTATCTATCTATCTATCTATCTATCTAGACCCACTCAATTTATCCCTGTATTGATCTAGTTACATGAGTTCCTATGAGAGTGAGTCCTTTAAGCATAATATAATTCCTCTTTCATAAGCATATGTTCTTTATAGTTACATAAATGACAACCTAAGTACATTGACCAGTTTGTCTTAACTAGTGGTCAGATTGGACTAAATTTGCTGCTATAAATTTGTTTTTTTGTTTTTTTCGGCTTGAAATGGCAGCAAAGCTGAAGTGAGGGATTATGGGTAATTGTCAAGATGTTGAGGTGGCTCTCTCTTGACAGAGCAAATGAAGAAAAGAAAGAGAGAGCAGGGAGCTGGTTGAGGGGAGGGGGCCAAAACAGGAAGGAGACTGCAAATGAGGCTTGTTTCAATAACAGGATCGATGGGGTGCAGGAAAAGATGTTGTGCACGTCAATGATAAGCATCCCCAGGCAAACACTGGAAGGTGTGGGGGAGAGGAAGGAAGGGCGAGGGGGGGGGGGAAACAAAGAGAAAGAATTAAGACAAAGTGAGAGTTGGAGAGACAGAGATGTTAGGGAGTAGAAAATGAAAATTGAAGAGAGACAAACATTGGGGAATGCTTGACTGCGACTATGTTTGAGTGCGCCAGAGACAGAGAGAGAAGAGAGGCGGGAGGTTCAACAATCAATGAATGCAGTCAAAAAGATGCAGTGCTCTGTCAGTATCACAACTCTCGTTCTCAGTATTATTTCATTAACTTGTCAGAAGTGCAATAATGTGGGTGGAGTTTCCGTCAGTTTCTGTTTTCTCTGGAGAAGTTAGTTGTTAGTTTTAAAGTAATAGTTCTTCTAAATATGAAAAGTCTGTCATTATTTACTCGTGTCATTATTCTGTGGAACACAAAATGAGATGTTTAATGTGTCCAAGCTGTGCTTTCAATACAAGAAAGAGCTAGGTGATTTATACTATTATGCCCACAAACCACGGAAGTAAATCTATCGTTTGGCTTTAGAAGGAATATATTTATATGTGGTAAAAAGCATAAATTTAAGTTGTTATTCGCTGAAAGAAGGTCACTATATGAATCTGTTATGCTGTTGCATTTTTGTCATAACTACACTGTATTACTGTAAGAGGTATTGATGGCCATTCAAGAAGGTCACAATCGACCCCAAAACCTTTTTTTGTTGTTGCACCAAGACCTTAGTATTTAGGACACGTTTAGTCTCATTAAAGTAATGCACCTGGCATGATGATTCTCATTAATAGCCTTTTTATTGCATTAGAGTAAAACATATTGTTTTGCAATTACTTTAAAATTAAAAACAAATTTTACTTAATTAAAGGCAGCACAACAAATGACACTAGGATGTATAAAATTTATATTTTTATTTATTGTGTTCATGTTAGATATTAAACCTCTATTTAACCAGTATTAACCTTTTTATTAGGTTTTATTAACTATTTATATATATATA